AGATCTATGACACTGTCCTAATTGCTTGGCCTTCTGCTAGTTACATTAATTTTACAATCATCTGGCTCATGTAGAGAGAATTTAATAGAAAAACTGTATGAGGGGAAACCGATTAGGACTTCTAACTAGTCCTAGCCTTATATTCATCTTAATATAGAGGAAAAATATTTATGACCCTAAGCTATATACGTTGATTGAAGGCAAGTGATGTGTTATCTTGGTAGCTGACAGTGGTCAATGCAGGGTGCATCTGTCTGTTTATCTGCCTGTCTGGTGGCTTTAGGATGTTATTGGTAGTGCTAGAAACCCAGCAGGTGTGATTGACTTTAAACTGGAGAGACTAGTGGGTCGTATACTTCCGTGACCATCAAACTGACCTCTGCTGGATTTACATCTAGCCATGGAGGTAGCAGGCAGACAGATGTCTGGACATGGGTGACATTAGTTTGAATATTATAGTCAAGCACTTCACAGAGGGGAAAAAATAATAAATTGTTAGCCTGATAGCATGTCTTTCAATGATTGGAGGCAGGCTGTGACCTTTAAAATGCCACGGTTTTACCTTGCAGAGTGAAATAGCTCTAAAGTGGACACTTTTTTTCCTTTTTTGAACTAGAGTCCACATCCTTAGTGAGAGCCCATGTCCTTAATCATGGCACCATGAGTTTATTGGGAATGTGAAATTCTCAACCACTGTGATGAATACGGCTTGCCCTCAGCCTTTTTTTTTTTTTTGGAGAGGTTTTGCTATAGGGCACGTGCACTCACCAGAAAGACAGAGACAGAGAGATAGAAAGTGAAAAATAATCACCCCCCTCCAGGGAGGATGGCCACACCGCAATCCCTTCTGCTCCATTTTCCTCTTGGGATCTTGGGCATGCACACATATGCACCCAGCCTGAGTTTAAGCCACCGGGTCCAGGACTCGAACCCTGGTCGACTACATGGGAGTCCAGTGACATAGCCATTATTCTAACTACTGGTCCCAATACTAAGCACTCTTTAAGTGCTTGGGTTATCTTATTTACTCTTCATAACAGTGTATGAATAAGGTACTGCTCTTTTTCCCATTTTACAGACAAGACAAGATAATCAAAGAGGTAAAGTCACACCCCCAGGGAGGATGGCCATGCTGTAGTCCTTTCTCCTCCATTCTCCTTTTGGGATTTTGGGTACGCATGCACACATGCCCGACATGATTTTCAAGCCACCAGGTCCAGGACTTAAACCGCAGCTGGCCATGTAGGGGTTCAGTGCCTTCACCGCCACACCACCTTCTGACCCCACACTGTCCTTCTTGATGCAATCTCTAGCACCACCACCCTTGTATCAGTGGCACTTATTCTCATCTGAGTCATTAAATCCATTCTTTCTATGGCACTTGTAGTCTTTACCAGGCAAAGACTTCACATTCCACACCATTCTTGCTCTCACTGTTTTGTGTGTTCAACTCTTCCCCAACACAAATGCTGTCTTTGAGCAGAGACGATGTCCCTAATACCTGGCTGAGCAGTGGCTTCTTCTCAGTCTCTCTTTTCCCAGATGATAGCATTGTCTCTCTGAACCGAAGTACTCTCTAGCTTGGCTCTACAGCTAGCTTCCTCCGTTGTACTCCGGCCTTCGGCTAATCCGAACTTACTTTCTCAACCGTAAGATAAGTATGAATAGAGTACCTATCTCTTAAGCCCATGTTAATACAGACACTCTTCAATTTATGATGGGTTATGACCCCCAAAAAGCTGTTGTGGGCCAGGTAGGTGGCTTGGTGGGTAAGGCAGCTGGATCCCACATGGCCAACTGCACAGTTCAAGATGTGGACTCTGTGGCTTGAAAAACACTCTGGGATCTTATGCATGTGTACCCCAAATCCCAAATGGAGAATGGAGAAGAAGGGATTGCAAAGTGGTCATTCCCCCCTGGGGGATATTTTTTTTCCTCTCTCTCCCTCTCCCCCTCCCCCAGCAAGTGGATGTGCCCTAAAGCAAAATAAATAAATAAAAATAAATCATGTTGAAAATATCCTAAGTTGAAGATGGATTTAATATCTTACTGAACATCATAGCTTAGTCTCACCTTCCTTACCGTGCCACAGTAGCCTACAGTTGGGCAAAACGATCTCACACAAGGCCTGTTTTATAATAGAGTGTTGAATATCTCATGTAATATAATAGAGACATATTAAAAATGAAAACCAAAATGGTGTGTGTGTTCAAAGTATGGTTTCTACTGAATGCATATCACTTTCACATCCCTGTCAAGTTGATCCATGGTAAATCAAAGATGTCTTTACAAATGCAGGGAAAGTGTCTGATCTGTAGTTAATGCTGTTAGTATTCTCTACGGTCTTAATTGCAGCTCATACATGTAGGGAGAAAAAAATCTTATAGATGGATATCTTCTTATTTCACACAGAATCTTTCCAGACTTAAAAAAGAGAAAAAAAAATCACCGAGTGGTTAAGATCTATGACACTGTCCTAATTGCTTGGCCTTCTGCTAGTTACATTAATTTTACAATCATCTGGCTCATGTAGAGAGAATTTAATAGAAAAACTGTATGAGGGGAAACCGATTAGGACTTCTAACTAGTCCTAGCCTTATATTCATCTTAATATAGAGGAAAAATATTTATGACCCTAAGCTATATACGTTGATTGAAGGCAAGTGATGTGTTATCTTGGTAGCTGACAGTGGTCAATGCAGGGTGCATCTGTCTGTTTATCTGCCTGTCTGGTGGCTTTAGGATGTTATTGGTAGTGCTAGAAACCCAGCAGGTGTGATTGACTTTAAACTGGAGAGACTAGTGGGTCGTATACTTCCGTGACCATCAAACTGACCTCTGCTGGATTTACATCTAGCCATGGAGGTAGCAGGCAGACAGATGTCTGGACATGGGTGACATTAGTTTGAATATTATAGTCAAGCACTTCACAGAGGGGAAAAAATAATAAATTGTTAGCCTGATAGCATGTCTTTCAATGATTGGAGGCAGGCTGTGACCTTTAAAATGCCACGGTTTTACCTTGCAGAGTGAAATAGCTCTAAAGTGGACACTTTTTTTCCTTTTTTGAACTAGAGTCCACATCCTTAGTGAGAGCCCATGTCCTTAATCATGGCACCATGAGTTTATTGGGAATGTGAAATTCTCAACCACTGTGATGAATACGGCTTGCCCTCAGCCTATGATGCTATTAATTATGTCACTCTGCCCTGGGAAGCAGTGCTGGACCCTAAATAGCTAAATACCCAGCTGAGAACTGCTGCTGTCTATACACTGAGGTTTCCACACACACTGTGTCTACACACACACACTGTGTCTATCTCTCTCTCGTTGCCTCTTCTCCAGAGATGAGTTTATCCTTAGGGGAATCTTTTAGAGACTTCTCAACTTTGTGCATATTAACCCTTTTGGCAACTTAACGTGAGATGATTTCATGGCCGCTTGATTATTACTGTAGAATTTGCTTACTTCTAAACATTTTAAGCGAAGCAATTAGATCATTTTGGAAATTGTTCTTGAATTGTGCATTCTGCTAAATATTCTGGGGAAGCATTTTGGCTCTGCTTACTTTGTTAATGCTGGTTACATCATGGGAGCTATAGATTTCTTGAGCGTGCAAAATGATTGCATATTCATGAACATCCTCGATCCTGAAATATTTGTAAATAACTTGGCAATTTTTTTTTCATAATGTTGCCTATTACAATGATTAGGACTTTGTTCACACGGTAAGAATTTGCGTATACCGAGGACCACCTATTTGATAGGTAACATTTCCATGTTAAGCAATTTGGATCTTGAACAAATAAGTCACCTTCCTTAAACAAAGTATAAGAGATGCTATTTTCCGCTTAAGAATGATTCAAGTTTGAAAATGTCAATAGATGCAAAAAGCCACCCTAGAGCTTTGCTCTCTCGAAAGAAAGTAGAGAAGAAATGACATAGTCAATGTTAACTGTCACCAGATGAAGAGAAATCAGATTGTCAGGCCTGGATCTATAAAATTCTTGCCAAAGTAGGACCTCATTTACACATACAGATCTTCATACCCTTTGCTAAGAAAAGCATCTGTGGCAGTTTAGATGTTTGTGCGTTTGCCAAAGATCTTTCACTCTGAATAAAGTAAATGTCATGTCTGTTGTTTATCTCAAATTCAGCAGAGTATTTTTAAAAGGAAATATTTGCGGGGGAGGGTCGAAGGAGAAGAGAGGAAAGAGGTTGGGGAGCTCCAGTTAGTTGGGTGTGGCTGTTTTACAGCAGTCCTCAAGAATCAGTACTCAAGTAACAGACTGGATAAATAAGCGTAAAATAGGCTGTGGGCTAATGAACAGAAAATGTCCTTTTGAAGTGACAGCACAATATCTTAGAACGTGGAGTCTTCCTGAATCTGTACCTAGTCTGTCAACACCAACAAAAATCCAGTTAATTCAAACTGATCATTTGGCATCATGGTGACACAGCTGTCTTGAACTGAAATTCTGAGCACTTAAAGATAGACGGCATTGTATTCAGAGCTAGCTGGTACAAGGGCATCTACCTGTAGTTGCGTTTAAACATTGCGTAGACTTTAAAGATTGGAAAAAGAACGTCATTGCTCTAAGTTCAAGTTGAATTCCATTGAATGGCAACATAAAAAAGAAAAAGTTGTTACCGTATTTCTTGGAATCCAGGTACCCTTTGTAAATTCAGGCTTTCAGTTCAGAGTATGATGTGGTAATTTATGTAAACTGCCTTAAAAAAAAAAAAAGAGAGAGAGAGAGAATTCTCAATGTACCTTTTTTGAAACTGTACTTCACCTTAGGCATTCAAAGTCATAATGAGATCTTAATATTAAATAAATCCTGAGGCTTTTCTTCAGGATATCTATTTGAGGTGCTATAATTATATCAGTCTTTATAAAAATCAAATATTTGTCTTAAGTAAGTGTGATTTGCCTTACCAGTGTCATCAGTTTTATCGAAGTATTCTATGTGACTTTGAGTATCATTTTATTCCCCCAGATGACATGGAAGCCATTCCTGTCAAACAGTTTGTTAAACACATCGGTGAGCTCTATTCTAATAACCAGCATGGGTTTTCCGAGGATTTTGAGGTATGTTTGAAAATGGAAATTAATTTCCACAAACCTTTTTTTTAAAAACAGGGATTTTATGAACTTGAATTAAATGTACTTGAAGCATAACAAAACAATAACTGTCTCAGAAAGTGGAGATGGCTTTTCTTTTGTCTTTTCACTTAAAATTTTAATAGACATTGTCTTCCCGATAAAATGAGGCAAAAGGGGTTAGGAATATTGTCCTACACATGCATGCCTGTGAGCACAGATTTAGTGGCAGAAAAGAGGCGAACTGGTGGGGGTTGTTTTTCAGGTTGTTTCTTCACCCAGATTCTCACTGAGAACAACACTGCCATGCAAAGCTCCCCAATTCTACATCATCTCTGAGCGCACATGGTGTAGCAGAGACCAGGTGTGGCATCTGAGGAGCCAGATGCTGGCCCCACTAGTAGTGAGCCTCATAATCCTTAGGCCAATCTCATCATCTCAGATCCCCATTTTCCCCGTTTTAAAAACTGGTGCTAGGACACCCCCCCCACCCCCCCACCCCGCATCCTAACACTGTTGAAAGAAACGCTGGGTTGAATTGCTAAGAGCCACGCGAAGGTCGAGTGCTGTTGTTTTCCTGGGTATTATTCATTGGAGAGAAGACATGGGTTAACATAGCCCTCTGGTTCTAAGAACTGGTGTGTAAGGAAACAAGGTAGAGTGCGGCTCGCAGCGCCCTGCCAGCTCTGGGTCCCGTGCCAGTTAAGCAGTGACAGGGTGTCAATGAGGAGCTATTAAACAGACTGCCCTTTTCTTCACTGAGGCGCTTAACTAAGGCACATCTCTGGCAGCAAGAGTTGTGCCGAGGAGGCCAAGTTTTCATGGCAGCTCAGCTGTCTTCTAGCTTTGTGGTAAGTCAGTTCCTTTCTCTGTCTCATTTCTACTTTAAAAACGGAAATTAGGAGAGTGATGCAGCTAACCTGCTCGCATCTTTTCACTAAATTGGTGACAGACACAAATGAAGTATTAGAAGGGAAGCGTTCTGGGCCCATCTAGGGGCCGTACAGTGGGGAGGTGCACTTGCGGTCCAGGAACAATGAGAAATGAAAACAGGACCAAAGCCTCTGACTCTACGCAAATTTGGAACCCCCCAAAAATTATCATCCAGGCAACTATACTGACAACTCCTTTTAAATTAAGTCATTCTCTTAGTTTGTTTTGGCTTGCATTTTTTTTTTTTAGTAGAATAAAAGCAAAGGTGCTAGAGAGAAAGAATTCTCTGATTTCTTGTGCAAAATCATATGTTTTGGAACAAACAAAAGCACGTCAAGTACTTAATGCTGGTATTAGATGCGTACCAAAAAAGGTGCCTATTCAACTACAAAGAACGTGGTTTAGTCAAACATTGTGTATTCATGAGGACAGCAAATGTGTGTGGTGTTAACGTGATTTAGTTCAATTGACTGTCGGCTGGATGACTGAGCAAGAATATTGAGGCATTTAACAATGTTGATGGTATTCAGGACAAACATTTATCCTCTAGAGAGTGGAATTTGATCAGGATGATCAAATGCAACTCCGGTTTCTCAATTATTTATGATTTGAGACCCCAGTGCTATTCATCACAGCTGGTTTTGACACCATTTAATTATTCAAAATAATCAGCTACACCTCTGTAAACTTGATCTGACTTAAAATGGGCTTTGCTGCATCAAAATCACGCCCGGTAACAAATCCTGGGCATCTGTACCCTATTGCTATCCTTCAAAAAATAAAGAAATAAATACTATGGCTACAGTTTTTAGTCATCTACATTGAACCTTATAGCAAAAGTATTATTAGCTGGTGGTTATGGGAGTGAAATGGGCAGGCAGGTGGGAAGGGGACACTGGTACACTGTTGTTACCTCACAATCTTTCCTGTATTGAAGGGTTTAAAATTAGCTATTCAGACTAGGAAGACTATCCTTTTTTCTTGGGAATAGAAAAAGAAAAGAGTTTAAAGGCAATATAAAGGAGAGAATATGTAGAAAAGCTCACCAGTTGCTTTCTAACTTAGTGAAAATTTACAGTAATCATATATCACTTCACAGTGGGGCTATTTTGCAAGAGATACACGGTTAGGTAATTCTGCCATGCAAACATCTTAGAATGTACTTACACAGACCCAGATGGCACAGCCTGCTGCTTACCGGGGCTAGAGGGCAGAGCCTATTGCTCCCAGGCTACGCACCTGAATAGCGTATTGCTGTACTGAACCCTGTAGGCAGTTTTGATGCAGTGGTAAGTATTTGTGTATGTGAACACAGAAAAGGTAGTATAAAAATAGAGCATAAAAGATAGGAAATGGTGCATCCGTATTGGGCTCTTACCATGAATGGAGCTTCCCTGCTTTGGGTGAGTCAGTGAGGGGTGAGTGAACGTGACGACCTATGACATTACTACACACGACTGTAGACCATATGAAGACTCTACACTTAGGCTACACTAATTCTATTTAACAAAATGTTTTCTTTCATGAACAATACATGCACCTTGGCTTACTGTAACGTTTTTACTTTATTAACTTCTAATTTTTTTACTTTTTTGTAATAACTTATAAATAGATCTTTTGATTGTACAGCTCTACAAAAATATTATGTCCTTATTATGTCCTGTATGCTTTTTTCTATTTTAAAAGTTTTACTTTTTACACTGTTTATAAAAACTAAGACACAAACACATTAACCTGGGCCTATATAGGGTCAAGATCATCTCTCTCAGTCTCCTACCTTCACATCTTGTCCCCCAGGAGGGCCAGGATGAATAAAACCAGATGCGAGTAAATCATGCACAAAGGAAAACATGAGATATATAAGGCCAATGCCCATGTAACCCAGCATACTGTTTTATAGTAAACTTTTTTGTATGTAGGGATACACCATAAAATAATGATAAAAGTACAGTGTAATAAATACATGAACCAGTAACACAGTGATTTCTTATGGAGTATTTTATGATGCATGTAGTTGCTTGTGCTATACCATTATACACCCAGTAGCGCAGTAGGTTTAGACCAGCATCACCACAGATAGGTGAGCAATGTGTTGCTGTACGATGTTACAAACACTATGATGTCACTAGTCAATAGAAATTTCCTGGCTCTACCATAATCTTACGGGATCATCGTTGGTACTGTAGGTCCTTAATGGAACTGTTGTTACACGGTGCATGACAGTATTGGGAAACACTGTGTTATTCCTCTCTGATAATTCTGCTAGAAGGCAGAACTGTTAACAGACTACATAAGCTATTGGGTCATCGGAAAACTCATGCCATAGTTTCCAGTGTTTTTCTACACAAAAATGCATCATGATTTTCCTGACGACCCAATAGTAAGGTTGTTTTATAGATAGGGAGAGTAACAGACCATATAAAGAACAACAGAGAAAGACATCTGTGTCTTTCGGGAAAAAAAAAATTATAATCTCAACCCCAGATGGCCAAGCTCCATAGCGATGGCCAGCATCTACTTTAAGAACTGTGGATGGATTATTTTACTCCATCTTCAAAAGTAACCCAAAGGTAGGTGCTATCTTACTGCCCCCATTTTACAGCTTAGGAAAGTCTAGCTAAGTGGAGACCGAGGTATCAGGTCATTCCTTGAAATGGCAGCAGTGCAGTTGAAAACCAGGGCTGTGTGGCTCAAACTCACATGGGTACCCTTGATGCTCTTGATAAAGGAGTATCCTGTTATGATCTGAAGTCCGAAAAATAAGGAGGACTTTCAGCAACTGTCTAAAACTGGCCATGTGGTTGTGCCTTGGCAAAGCGGGGAGGGTGTGGGGAGAGCAGCCAAAGGGAGGAGCCTCCCGCCAAGAGCACGAGGCACCCGTTACTTGATCTCTATGGTCGAGAGCCTGCTCAGACAGCTGAGAGTCTGACTTACGGAAATCCTACCCAATATCTGACCAGAGGCCTACGGATAGTCAAAGTACTACTCTGAAGAGAAAAGAGAGAAGAGAAATAACCACTGTCAGTTGACGGTTGGCTGGTAAGAGGAGGTGAAACAACTCAGCCCAACAGTTGCTGAGCACCTACCACTCTCTGAACATAAGATGCAAAGATGAAAAAAAGTCCTTGCCCTCCAAGAGTTCAGTGTGATCGGAGGAGAGCAGACTGTGCACAGCCACAGAGTGGAGACAGGGAAAGCCCAGTCTACGCTTGAAGGTCTGGAGAAAGTGTGAAGAAGTGCAGAAGAGAAGCACACCTATGCATTTTGACGGGGTTTTTCAGCAAGAGCTCTATATGCCCCTGTCTTGTTTAAAAATCATGGAAATAGAAACATTTTGGTGAGTAGCTGTCATATTTTTAGAACTCTGCTGCCTGGAGGAGACAGAGAGAAATGATTCGCTGGTAATTTTGAGTCTTTGTCTAGAGGTGATGCTGAAAGCCAGCTTTTTGTCCTTGTCAGATAAATTTTGGAGACTATGAAAAGCCAGCGACATCATACCTCCAGCATATTTTGCAGTCACTGGAAATAAAATCAATCCTGGTCTCGGGATGGCATTTGATGACTCCATTCCTTTGCTCCCTTAGCTAAATTCAGCCTCACTGTCCTTCCCAGGGAGTGGTTTCCCAGAGTAGTGTAAGATTAAGAGCCTCTTCCTCGACCTTCACAATCAATCGCAATGCAGGAGGCTTCCAAAGGCACAGCGCTAGCATGCCCTTTCAGAAGGAGAGCGCTCCAGAGCTATACGGGTCAACAGAATTAACAGGGTTGAGGAAATCAGAAGTTTAAAGGCTGAATGCAGAGATGAGGCCAGAGGTCCATGGCCTCTTGACAGTGTCCTTTGGGAGATTGCTTCTATTAAGACTAACCAGCTGAGCTGGATGTTCATCTTAAATCAAGAGAACAAAGCTTTGTCCACCTGAGCCCATGCTCTGAGGGACTAGTGGCCACAATCACTTTATGTAATGAATGAATACTTCAGGGTTGCCAGTGACAGATAACAGGAGGACCCCTGGGCAGAGGTGTGATACTGCACAAAGCTCTTGCCTGCAAGAGGGCAGAAAATTACCCTGTAGGTTTTCCTGCGATTCTGCGACAGAATACCAGTTTGGGTCTTAAATATCTTAAGAGAAAACCCTTTTTCAACTCTTTGAAAATAATCATAGCGTTTAATTTGAGTTTTTATGAAGAGGGAGGCAAAAGGTGAGCTAGCCGAATGTCACAAATTGTATGTAAAAAAACAATTTTATGTTATAGCCCAGCTGCAGGATGCTAGGTACTGTGTCAGACTCTCTAGAAAAGGTTAGTTTTTTGTACAGGAAAGATAGTCATTTTAGGGAAATATGGGTGGATTTGAACAAAGAGAATAGGCACACTTAGCAACGTAGATGGCTATAAAGCAAAGAGCAGGAAATCATATGGTCTTTTCAAAGGGCACAGAGTTAAAACTGGGAACGGAAGGAGAGTTTGTAGGTGATAGGATAGCCCTTGAAAATCTGGCTAAGTAATCTGGACTCTACCCAGGGGTTTCTGAGTAAAGGAGTAGTAAAGTCCACCCAGCATGTGAAGAAAATCTTGTCTGGCTGCAGATTGTAGCCTCAGCGGAAGACAGCAGAGGCAGGAATGTGCAGCCTAACCAGCACCTGACCAGGGCCAGCTCTGTGTCCAACACTGTACAAGCATGATGCTACAGTTATGACCCAAACTAATCAGGCCTCTGTAGAACAGGCCCCAACACAACTGTAGACTGTGTGAACTCAAACACGAAGAATGGTACACATACCAAATTTAGTACTTGGTCCCTAGGTTCAAAAAGATCGTCTTCTCAGTTTGCTTGATGAGCAGAGTAATCTGAAAGATTGATTTTTAGATTTGGTTCAGTTATGTTTTTCTTTTCTTTTTTTGGAGAGGTTTTTGCTATAGGGCGCATGCACTCGCCAGACAGAGAGACAGAGACAGAAAGCGAGAAATCACCCCCCAGGGGGGATGGCCGTGCCACACTCCCTTTTCCTCCATTCTCCTCTCAGGATCTTGGGCACACACGCACACACGCCGGTTTAAGCCACTGGGTCTGGGACTCGAACCGCGGTCGACCACGTGGGAGTCCAGCAAGATAGCCATTTGAAATGAGTCACAAGATAGGACAGAGGTCTCAAGTGCACTTTAGATGGCCTCTTATATGGATTCCAAGTAGTAGTGATTTAGCTTCTTTAAATTCCCAAGAATTATGGATATAGCAGATATATTTATGGTTTTTTTTTTTTTTAATTTTAACACCTTGCTTTCCACTGGCCCTCTAATATGCCTACTGTACGCCTCTTCTTATTCCGAGTATCCATTTTGAGAATCCTAGGTTTGTTATACAGACAACGAAATATAAACAAGCTTAAATCTTAAACTGGTTATTAGAGTGCTGAATAGGTAACTTTACTGTACACACTTCATCGGGCAGTGTCACTTTAAAGGGTTTTTAACACCTATTAAAATCACATTAACTTTGAAATGCCAGTTCTGCTGGAGAAAAGCCACTCCAGGATCAGATGATATTATCAGCATCTAAATGAGCCAAGCAGAATGGCAAGGAATTACAGATGACATTATTAGCCACCAGACAATATCAAAAGGCCTTAGGCAAACCCCATGGGTTCTGATAAAATCAGATTTAACATTATTTATGACTATTCTTTGTTTTCTGTCATTCACATAATTGGAAAAGTGAAATAGCAGCAACGGATCAGACTGAGAGTTTTAGATAACAAAGAGTTTGATTGGCCATATTGAATGACCGCTTTGAGCAGTGCAGACAGCTGCTGCCAGCCAGTCTTGCTCGATCAGATTATATTATAATAGAGGTACAACCTCAGTCTATAGCCAGGGTGGTCAGATCCACACAACAGGAAAGAAATCAATCAATAAACGAAGAGAATCTGAGACCTACGTACTAAAAGTTAAAAGTCTCTCAGCATAAGATACTTTGACAACTCGGCCCTGAAAAGGTAACGACCTTTAAAACCCAGAAACAAAAGGATGTCAGCTTGTTTCTGGGATTTGTGTATACATTGAAGTAATGTCACCCAGAATACAAACCCACTTAAAAAAAGTTTCCTGTCCTTGAAACAATTGAGAAGAGCATGCCTCAGGGCTTTAAGGCAATTCTAAAAGGCAGGTCCCAATATTCCAACTACAGCTAGCGTGGCTTAGTTCTTGTAGATGTTAACGTATCAGACACATTACTCTGTGTTTATCATCTCATTTTAGAGAAAAGAGCCCAAGGCAACCTTAAGGCCCTTTAGGCCAGTGCTTGCCAAACCATAGGTTATAAACAATTTTAGAACAGAACAGAAAATACCAGAGTTTATCATGTTTAGTAAGGGCAAGATACAGGTAAGAATTACCATGAAACATAGACTTTTCCCGAAGTGATGGACTGAATTAAATGCTTGTTGGGGTCTGTTTTCTTTCTTACTTTCTTAAAGTGGACAGATAGAAAAGCCTATAATTATGAAAAATTTTAATATCCAAGAATTGGCCAATGAATACGATTTCTTAGAACACATAGTAACTCTTTGTTATTTTATACCTTAATGTGATTCTTTGATTACAGTGAGGTTCTCCTTAGAGAGAAGAGGGGGACTACATGCTGGGAAGTACTTTGTGACTATAAAAGACAACTAGTTCCTTGTTTTCATTATGCTTAATGTAAATGCTGTGGAAAACATCCATAGTTGCTATGCAGCTCCTTGGTGAAAAAAAAAGTCTGCATGCTCCTAAACTCTGTTACATCTGTTATGTGTAAAACATTTCTCCTGATAATTTTGTGTCACTTTGCTCCTGCTCTTTGTAGCAGCTGTGCACTGCTAATGACTTCCCTTATTAGTTAGCTCCAATACTTTCTTGGATTTGAATCATACAGAGCAGAAAATTTTGGCTTTTCAGCAACCTTGTATTAAGCTAATGGATGATGTTTATATCCATGGCCAAGGTAGGGAAGATGGTTGCCACTGTTATTTTTCTAAAGAAGGATAATTTAAATAAAATTAGAGTTTACAAACAATTTATCAGGACTAACAAGTTGTCTGAGCCAGATACAACAATTACTTGGGCTATATATTAGTGTCATTTCAAGACTGAGTCTTTATAGTCAATTTGCAGTCTCATGGTTGTAAAATGAGGCTATAAGACCTATAAACACGTTGAAAATCATGCTGGAGATTATACTTCTTGGAAATTCACATTCATCTGTTAAGATTTAGGTGAATTGTCAACTCTTCTCAAGCCTTCTCTGGTCCCATCATGTTCCCATCATAGCATTTTTTCCCCCAGGCCTTTTGTCTGTTCGTTACATTAGACTGACATTATCTTTGTTAATGTTTTTCTCAGTCATAGATTGAGATGCATTCCAAAGAACTTTTTTTAATCCCAATTCCTAGGTCAAAATCTGGACTAAAGAATAAGATTGATGAGTTAGTAAAGAATGAAACCCTATGATTTCACACGCTTAAATATTTTTATTTAATCTTTTCTTAAGAATTATTTAACTTACTTTTATTTATTTTAATTTGACCAGAGAGGGACAAAGGGAGAGAGCAAAAGAGAGAGAGAAAGTGAGAAAGCAAGCTGCCAGGTCTGGGACTCGAACCACAGTCTGCCATGTGTGAACCCAGAGTCCTTAACCACCAATGCCACCGGCCAGTCCCTAATTTCACATTCTTAGTCTGTTACAAATATGTCAATAGTTACATGTGAAGGTGGGTTTTGGGAGCCAGTGGTGACCGTTGCTCTGGAATGAGTCAATACTTGTCTCTGAGAATATATGCAATTCCTTTCTTTCCTAGTGTATCTAAAATGTTCGTTTATTTTCTTCACTAGGAGGTGCAGCGCTGTACAGTTGATATGAACATCACTGCAGAACATTCCAATCATCCAGATAACAAGCACAAAAACAGATACATCAACATTTTAGCATGTGAGTAGTAAACTATGAACTATCTTCAACTGCAAGAAAATTAAATTTCCATGCTGGGTGTAAGTGAAAGTCAAGCAGTCAGATTCTGGAGCTAAGACGGAGCGATACTGGCAAGCTAACCCCTCATTAGTCCATCTTCAACAGTATAAAAGAAGAAGTGGGGATGTTTCTTGTCCCCTTTATCTTTCCTTAGGCTCTCAGCTGTCAGGGCGTGTAACAAGGTGAGAGTCACTGTTTTTTTCACATGAGGTGATGTCATTGCAGATGCTGGGACCCAAGCAAGGTTCACTTCATTATCTTGACATTGATTTTAACTAGTGAGAGTAAAATCTTTTTAATGCAGACAGAAACTTAGAGTTGAATCAAGGGAACTGAATTTCAGAGCAATAAAACTATGTAATTAGTCTGTACCTAAAGTAATGAGCTTCTAGGTTTTTTGGCCTATGTGCTTAACACTATCCAACATATTTCCAGGGTCAGGAGTATCCTGGAGGCCAGGGACATAAACAACAGGCATTCTTCATACAGCACCTCAAGGACTACCCTAGGAGTGCCGGTTACCTTTGTTACCATTTTACATTCCCGCCAGCAATACACGGGAAAGCCTCGTGTTTCACATCCTCACCAAAGCTTTATTTATTTTTCTTTTTTAATAATAATAACCATCCCAATGGATATGAAGTAGTATCCCAATTCCCTAATAAGTAGCGATATTGATCATCTTTTTGTGTCCTTGTTGGCCATATGTGTACCTTCTTTGGAACAGTATCTATTTCAATCTTTTACCCATTTTTCAATTTGATTGCTTGTCTTTCTAAGAGTCCTTTATATATTCTGCATATAGATCCCTTACTACATGTGTAGTTTAATATTTTCTCCCATTGTGTACACTGTCTTTTCACTTTCTTTTCTTTTTTTCCTTTTAAAATTAGTTATTTAATTTATTTTTTTTTTAAATTTATGATAGAACTTGTGTGCTCAACAGAGAGAGAGAGAAAGCAACCGGGGGGATGGCCACACCACAATCCCTTCTCTTCCATTCTCCTCTTGAAATCTTGGGCACGTGCACACACACACACACACACACACACACACATACACATGCCCGGTGTGAGTTTAAGCAACTGGGTCCAAGACTTGAACTGCAATCAACTATATAGGAGTCCAGTGATGTAGCCATTATGCCATCTGCTGGTCCCTGTCTTTTCACTTTCTTACTGGTGTCCTTGGAAGCCCAAATTTAAAAAAAAAAAAAAAAAGTTCTTTTTTGCCATTGCTAAGAACACGAGATCACAAAGATGTATACCTGTGTTTTCATCTAAGAATTTTATGGTTTGGGAACCAGCAGTTAGCGTAATGGCTATGTCGCTGGACTCCCACGTAGTCGACCGCGGTTCGCGTCCTGGACCCAGTGGCTTAAAACTCACGCCGGGCGCGTGTGCGTGCGTGCCCACGATCCCGAGAGGAGAATGGAGGAGAAGGGATTGCGGCGTGACCATCCCCCCTGGGGGGTGATTTCTCGCTTTCTGTCTCTATGTCTCTCTCTGTCTGTCTGGCGAGCGCACGCGCCCTATAGCAAAAATCTCTCCAAAAAAAAAAAAAAAAAAAGAATTTTATGGTTTTAGCTCTTACATGTAGGTCTTTTGATCCACTTTGAGTTAATGTTTATATGTGGTGTACATAAGAGTCCAAATTCATTCCTTTGCATGTGGATATCGAGTTGTCCTGGTACCATTTGTTGAAAAGACTTCTTTCCCCACTGAGTTGTCCCAGCAAAGAGGACAACTGATCTAGTTTGAAAATCAGTTGACCATAAATATAATGATTTATTTCTTAATAATCAATTTGATTCTGTTGATCTATATTTCTGTCCTTATACAATATCAATTATTGGCCATAGCTTTGTAGTAAGTTTTGAAACTGGGAGCTGAGAGCCCTCTAAATTTCTTTTTTTCAAGATTATCTTGGTTATTGTGGATCTATTATGTTTCCATATGAATTTCAGGATCAACCTATTATTGCTCCAGAAAACATAGCTGGGATTTTGACAGGGATTACACTGAATCTGTAGGTTAACCTGGGGATCTTTGCCATCTTAACAACATTGCCTTCTAATTATTGAGCATGGGTTCTTTTTCATTTATTTAGATCTTTGAGGCCTTTCATCAGTGGAGTATAGTCTGCTATGTTCAAGGACCATGATTCTGTTCTTAAATTTATTTCCTAAGTCTTTTATTCTTTTTTATGCTATTGTAGATGAAATTTATAAATTTTATTTTTGGACTGTTCATTACCCGTGTAGAAAGTATAATTGATTTTTGTGTATCAATCTTGCATCTTACTACTTAACTGAACTCATTTTTCTAATAGTTACTGGGTGGTCAGGAAAGTCACGACACATTTTTGCATAAAAAAATACATTATGACTTTCCTGACAACCTAATATTTGTTGTGGATTCCATTGCTTTTCTGTATGCAAGATCAAATCATCTAAGAATAGTTCTTCCTGAAAAATTTAAAAATAATTGCAAGTCTTTTTTGAATAGGATTATTTGTTTCATTGGTATGAGACAATGAAGAAAAGGGTAAAAAAGAGAACAGTGAAGACCCAAACATTTTTTTTTTCCTCCAGTCTTTAATCTCTTGACTCTGGCAGCATTTGTCAGCCAGCCCCAGGGTCACTGTGCTGTAGTGTGAGGATTATACCATCCATACACCACCTTTCTGAACATGCAAAACAGACACGACTATACACACATCTGCACATTACATATTTCCATTTCCATGCACTTATAAAACCAAAGTATGTGGCAAAGGAGGAGGAGAAAATCAAGGCAACTTCTGTGTGATGTGCCTAAGGATTTTTCTGGAAAATCATCATTTCTGATTAAATGTGGTTTTACTTTCACAAATTCAAAAATAGATGTGATTTTATTTTTAAAAATTCAGGGAACTGGGTTTTTGTGTACTCTTAGCCCCTCAGATTCTGGGCATGTCACCTTCATGTACCCTTTTATAAATGCCCTTATAGACTAAAGAATACTATAGAAATGTCAGAGAAACGAGTAAGGTCAGACCATAAATGCGCCTGAATCTACAATGCACAATATGGGAAAGGCTCTTCCGGAGCCACCAGTTCTCAAGGTTGCGAATGTTTCCATGCCACCTCCTATACTGATGTATTAACTGGTCTAGATGAGTATGAATTTTGCAACCTGAAGAGCTTGTCACTCCTTAAGCATTAACAACCTGCAATGTGATGGCTACTAAGGCTTACCAGTTTGGATTTGGGAGAAATGTTTTATTTATTTTTTAAGAGATTTTTGCCATAAGGTAGGTGCAATGCCAGAGAGAGAGACAGAGAGAGGGAAAGTGAGAAATCACCCCTCAGGGAGGATGGCCATGGCACAGTTCCTTCTCCATTCTCCTCCCGGGATCTTGGGCATGCATGCACACATGCTTGGTGTGACTTTCAAGCCATGGGTCCGGGACTCGAACGTGGTCAGCCATGTGGGAGTACAGCAGCATAACCTCTACACTATCTGCTGGCCCCAGGAGAAATTTTTCACTCGGTGTGTATTTATAGCAGACAGCCCCTGTTTTATGTCAATTATAGACAATTTGTTGGAACCACCAAAGAATTCATAGTTCCAAGAATGGAGAGAGCTTTTAGAGAGTGCTTGGTGTAGTCTGAGGTCAGGAATATCCAAGCAAAACCACTCACTGGATTATTCTTTGAACCAGCCTTTTATGATAATGACTATAAAACAGAAATATTGGGTTGTTTTATGCCTTTTTACATAAAGAAAAATGTAGAAAAATATGTCATGACTTTTCTGACAACCCGATACAATTAACTTTTGTCCATTCTCTTCCTAGGTAAGAAAAATAAAATTATAACCTTAGCTTTTATTGATTTTCCTATTCTGAAAAACCAGGACCATTCTGTCAGAAAACTAGAGAGACATATGGTGACACCCCTTTTATTCATAAGCTCAGACTAAGTGAGTCCTAAAAGTGGATCATTGACTTTGTATTCTTACAGAAAGATTAAAGTGAATTTGATTTCAAAATATAAGACAAAGACATTATAGAGGATTACAACATGCAGTAGTTTTATATGAAGTAAGAAAAATCTTTTTTTTTTTTGAGAGAGAGATTTTTGCTATAGCGTGCATGCCCTCACTGGAGAGACAGAGACAGACAGAAAGTGAGAAATCACTCCCCTGGAGGGCGGATGGCCACACCGCAATTCCTTCTTTTCCATTCTCCTCTCAGGATTCTGGGCACGCACCCATATGCATCTGCTGTGGGTTTTAAGCTGCCAGGTCCAGGAGTTGGACTGTGGTCGACTATGTGGGAGTCCAGTGGCGTAACTATTACGCCATCTGCTGGTCCCACTAAGAAGAATCTTCATTTACATGTCGGACACTCAGCGGTAACAGCATGGCTTTATGTTTCTGAGATAGATTCAAACATTTTATCTTTAACTATTTCGTTGTTGTTCTGCCAAAAGTTTTTCAGGCTACTCAGGGAGATGCCACCTTGGTCCTGCTTCCTGGTGCTGTGCTTTAGAATGCTACTAACTTACAAATAACCCATTTTATTTTGGCTTTTTTTTTCTTCCTCCTTACCCTCTACAGATGATCACAGTAGGGTGAAGTTAAGACCTTTACCGGGAAAAGACTCTAAGCACAGCGACTACATTAATGCCAACTATGTCGATGTAAGTCGGACATTTTTGTAAGCCTGTTTCTGGAAATTAGAGGCAGCAGCACAGACTCTGGGATGTACTTAGTGCTGCCCAGAGCGCTCACTCTGCAGTACAGAATGCACGTGAATTATTAACAGGTCTTCTGTATTCCGCTTTCATCTAACTTTGTGCTGTGTCGTCTTTGAAGGGTTACAACAAAGCGAAAGCCTACATCGCCACCCAGGGACCTTTAAAGTCTACGTTTGAAGATTTCTGGAGGATGATTTGGGAACAAAACACTGGAATCATTATCATGATTACGAACCTTGTAGAAAAAGGAAGGGTAAGAGCCTCTTGGCTGACTATCTTATTCATGCACCTTCATTTAGAAGTACCCATGCTGTACCTGCTGTAGGGGAGGGATTGGAAAAGAGTTTTCTCTGCCCTCATGGTGCTGGTAGAAAAATATGTCATGACTTTTCTGAAGACCTAATACTAAGAGAAGAGCATAAATACTAGGCCCATTTCACAGATGACCCCGTGCAATTATATCCCAGGTCATCATCCTCTTCGGAGGTCACTGCTAGGTCATTCAAGCCATGCATTCCTTTTCCAGGGAGATGGCAATCTCACCTTTGTTTTAGCACCGAGATGACATGATCCCCAGGAGAACAGATTAAGTTGTGGTTATGATTTGCTAAATTTTTTCCTTTTTTGCAGAGAAAATGTGATCAGTATTGGCCAACAGAGAATAGTGAGGAGTATGGAAACATTATTGTCGCACTGAAGAGCACAAAAGTACATGCCTGCTATACCGTTCGTCGTTTTTCAATCAGAAATACAAAAGTGAAAAAGGTATTGCAGAAATTGGGTGGGCTGCCAGGGCATGTCTTTAATAATTGTATGAAAATTACTATGTAACTAGAGCCAAATCTCATAACCAACCTGGTTTTCAAAAAGTATTTTTAAGAATATTTATCTGACAATTCTGAATTGGCATCTGTGTGTGGAAGGTTACTGGCAAAGCACATAGTAGGGTTTAACTGGCCCAATTGAGTTATTTAATTTGTTCACAAGTAAGACTTCACTTAAAGAAAAAAAGGAAAATAAAATCATCCTCTTAGGTCTTGGTAACATTCAGCAAAAATGGCAGCATCATTTTGTTGACTTAGCTTTTTCATTGTAATTGTGTGACAGCTTGAAAACCTAGTTTCTCAAAGTGTGTTCCAAAAAAGACCAGTCCTGAAAGAGGCTGGTAAAATCAGATTCTGAAATAGAGAGTAGAAGAGTGGTTAGTAGAGGTTAGGAAAGAGAACTGAGAGAGATTGGTGGGCAAGTACAGCATTTACACAGAAAAAATAAGTTGTAGTGTTTAGTAATGGTGACTACAAATAACCATAATATATTTCAAAATAGTTGGAAAACTTTGTTCCCAGCACAAAGAAATGTTGAGTGTAGGAGATGATGGACAGTCTAATTAACTCTGCTTTGGCCATTACACATTATATATACATATATCAAGAAACCACACTAGGGAACCAGCAGTTAGTGTAATGGCTATGTTGCTGGACTCGCACGTAGTCGACCATGGTTCGCGTCCTGGACCCGGTGGCTTAAAACTCACGCGAGGCGCATGTGCGTGCGTGCGTGCGTGCCCGCCCAAAATCCCGAGAGGAGAATGGAGGAGAAGGGATTGCGGCATGACCATCCCCTCTGGGGGGTGATTTCTCACTTTCTGTCTCTCTGTCTCTGTCTGTCTGGCAAGCACTCACGCTCTATAGCGAAAACCTCTCCAAAAAAAAAGAAATACGGTTACATTAAGAGAGCATGGCATACGTAGGATGGATTACCACGTGACTCAGCAGGAGTATTTGAGAGTTCCGTGTGCTAACAGACCAGAACGGTTTTCATCTAAGATGTTATTTTTATGAACTTGGATATATATCTGCAGTATATTAAAACAAGCCAGTTCTTTTAGCAATAAACTGGATATTCTGATAAGTCCTTACTGTAAAACACATAGAAATAGCAGATAAAATACAGCAAATATGCATTTAAATGCATAGTTGTGTTTACAAGAGAGTAAAAAAATAATAAAATACCCAGGGGAAAATGACAATAAGACAAAGCAGAAAACCTGAATTATCAATAAATACAAAACTCTGTCTGCTTTGGAAATATTTACCGATCCCAGGAATCTAGAGACTTGAATCTCAAGGTCATGCAAGGAACTAAAGACAAAGTGTTGGAATCCCTGCAAGGTAGAGAGTTGGAAAGGAGACCCCTGCCTAAATTCAGAGCTCATGAATCAGGAATAAAAACATCTAACAAAAATGAAGACATGAAAAGGGAACTTGTCCTTCTCAGTCTAAGTCCTGAGAAAGGAAAATATTCCCTCCTGAGAATACAACACCATAGTTAAAAAAAAAAAAAAAAAAAGAAACCACGCTATACCCTATCAATATGTAAAATTATTTGTCATAATATAATCAGGCTCTGCTGATCAAGGAGAAATAGCAGATAAATGCTACATAATATGTATTCATTCCTCTTTTTGAAATTTACAGTGAATACAGTGACCAGAGTGCTCTGTTAGGAAGTCTAAATACTTCTGTTTTGCTTAGTGTTTTCTAATGTGGCTTAAGAATAATAATCCTTTTATATAATGTCTTGAGAATCGCACTTTGTAGAAACTATGCTTTCAAGTTATCCATTTCTCTTTCAAAATCTGCCACAAGAATGACAGATCATCACTGCAGTATTATAAACTCTAGATAGATGCTTATTAAGAAAATCTGGGACCAGCAGATCATGTAATGGGCACATCCTGGATTTCCATATAGCAACTGTGGTTTGAGTCCTGGACACAGCAGCTTAACACTCACACTGGGTGCATGTACATGCGTCCCCCAAATTCCAAGAAAGTGGAGGAAAAGGGATTGCAGTGTAGCCATCTCCCTGGTGGGGGCGGGAAGTTTCCTCATTTTCTGTCTCTCCAGCTAATGCACTTACCTGATAGCAAAAAATCTCTTAAAGAAAAAAAAAAGAAAGAAAATAGTTATATTATAGAAACTTAGATGTGGCTGTTATTTGTAGCAATGGGATTTCTTTGGGGGGGGTATTTTTGAGAATGTGATAAAATTATAGCCTCCTTGTCTTGGAAGAAATCACATTTACTCAAATCACATTTTTTTAAAGAATAACTTTATTTAATTTCATTCATTCATTCATTTTAATTTGACCAGAGAGAGAAAGAGGAAAAGTGAGAAAGCAAAACACCAGGTCCAGGACTTAAACTGCAGTCGGCCATGCGGGTGTGTCTAGCGCCTTAACCACCACGCCATCTGCTGGTCCCTCAAATCACATTTATTCAGATTCTTACACATAATTTCGGTTTCTTTGAAGCCCAACTATGATCCAAAATTAACAGTCTTTTATGTATGTAATTGTTTCCAAAAGTGGCAAAAATACAATAGCTGGTATAAAATTTACAAAGTCATGGGAACGCTAATAATTTTAAACAGGGCCCACTTAGTCTTGTTTTAGAAACAACTTATGTCACAGGAAAATGTAGGAACTTTTATCTGTTTTAAATACTGAGAAGAGGAAAAATTAGAGCCATCATGAGCCTTTGTAGCACAGGGTTGGACACAATTCAGTCTTCAGTATTGATTAACGATCTTTAATCATCCAAAAAATTTGAAATTTCTAAAGGTATTGGTAATAAGGAAATATAGTAAATGATCTATTTAGGGAAAATATTCATCTAAAATATTAAAATGGAAAAGTCAAAATGTAAAAAGTTTAATCACTTAAAATAGAAGTAGTCTGAAAAGCCATTATGGAAGTGACAGAGATGCGAGCTTGACTCTGGAAATGAGAATCATTTTACACTTAGGATCATCCCATCACTTCCTGGAGTGTATACAGCAGCACCTGGCACTATGACTCCAGAAGGTTCAGCCTGGAGAGTGGACAAGGAATGAGAATCATGGCCTACAGGCAGATGAAAGCAAAGCAAGGCCTTTTGGAATTGAGGCAGAAAGTCAGGAAATGAAGGCATTATAGGAAAACTACAAAATAAAATTAGTTCCCAGCCCCAAAGAACTGATATTAAATGTTTGTTCTTGGCGCAACCTTAAACAGTTTTCTAAGAGAGAGTGACACTTCCAGCTTCATATCCAAGTAAGCAATATCTCCATGTAATAGCATGGAAGTTGGTCACGAGGAGGAAAAAGGCCACGAACAGTAATTAACAAGATCAGAGATGTCATAATTTCCTGACACTCTTACATTATTTTCTTCTAGAATGTCCATCTTCAGTTTCAAGTCATCTTTTTTCACTTTCCTCATAGGGTCAGAAGGGAAATCCCAAGGGTCGTCAGAATGAAAGGGTCGTGATCCAGTATCACTACACGCAGTGGCCTGACATGGGAGTCCCCGAGTACGCCCTCCCGGTCCTGACGTTTGTGAGGAGATCCTCAGCAGCCCGGACACCAGAAATGGGCCCTGTCTTGGTGCACTGCAGGTAAGGCTAAAAAAAAAAAAAAAAAAAGAAACCACGCTATACCCTATCAATATGTAAAATTATTTGTCATAATATAATCAGGCTCTGCTGATCAAGGAGAAATAGCAGATAAATGCTACATAATATGTATTCATTCCTCTTTTTGAAATTTACAGTGAATACAGTGACCAGAGTGCTCTGTTAGGAAGTCTAAATACTTCTGTTTTGCTTAGTGTTTTCTAATGTGGCTTAAGAATAATAATCCTTTTATATAATGTCTTGAGAATCGCACTTTGTAGAAACTATGCTTTCAAGTTATCCATTTCTCTTTCAAAATCTGCCACAAGAATGACAGATCATCACTGCAGTATTATAAACTCTAGATAGATGCTTATTAAGAAAATCTGGGACCAGCAGATCATGTAATGGGCACATCCTGGATTTCCATATAGCAACTGTGGTTTGAGTCCTGGACACAGCAGCTTAACACTCACACTGGGTGCATGTACATGCGTCCCCCAAATTCCAAGAAAGTGGAGGAAAAGGGATTGCAGTGTAGCCATCTCCCTGGTGGGGGCGGGAAGTTTCCTCATTTTCTGTCTCTCCAGCTAATGCACTTACCTGATAGCAAAAAATCTCTTAAAGAAAAAAAAAAGAAAGAAAATAGTTATATTATAGAAACTTAGATGTGGCTGTTATTTGTAGCAATGGGATTTCTTTGGGGGGGGTATTTTTGAGAATGTGATAAAATTATAGCCTCCTTGTCTTGGAAGAAATCACATTTACTCAAATCACATTTTTTTAAAGAATAACTTTATTTAATTTCATTCATTCATTCATTTTAATTTGACCAGAGAGAGAAAGAGGAAAAGTGAGAAAGCAAAACACCAGGTCCAGGACTTAAACTGCAGTCGGCCATGCGGGTGTGTCTAGCGCCTTAACCACCACGCCATCTGCTGGTCCCTCAAATCACATTTATTCAGATTCTTACACATAATTTCGGTTTCTTTGAAGCCCAACTATGATCCAAAATTAACAGTCTTTTATGTATGTAATTGTTTCCAAAAGTGGCAAAAATACAATAGCTGGTATAAAATTTACAAAGTCATGGGAACGCTAATAATTTTAAACAGGGCCCACTTAGTCTTGTTTTAGAAACAACTTATGTCACAGGAAAATGTAGGAACTTTTATCTGTTTTAAATACTGAGAAGAGGAAAAATTAGAGCCATCATGAGCCTTTGTAGCACAGGGTTGGACACAATTCAGTCTTCAGTATTGATTAACGATCTTTAATCATCCAAAAAATTTGAAATTTCTAAAGGTATTGGTAATAAGGAAATATAGTAAATGATCTATTTAGGGAAAATATTCATCTAAAATATTAAAATGGAAAAGTCAAAATGTAAAAAGTTTAATCACTTAAAATAGAAGTAGTCTGAAAAGCCATTATGGAAGTGACAGAGATGCGAGCTTGACTCTGGAAATGAGAATCATTTTACACTTAGGATCATCCCATCACTTCCTGGAGTGTATACAGCAGCACCTGGCACTATGACTCCAGAAGGTTCAGCCTGGAGAGTGGACAAGGAATGAGAATCATGGCCTACAGGCAGATGAAAGCAAAGCAAGGCCTTTTGGAATTGAGGCAGAAAGTCAGGAAATGAAGGCATTATAGGAAAACTACAAAATAAAATTAGTTCCCAGCCCCAAAGAACTGATATTAAATGTTTGTTCTTGGTGCAACCTTAAACAGTTTTCTAAGAGAGAGTGACACTTCCAGCTTCATATCCAAGTAAGCAATATCTCCATGTAATAGCATGGAAGTTGGTCACGAGGAGGAAAAAGGCCACGAACAGTAATTAACAAGATCAGAGATGTCATAATTTCCTGACACTCTTACATTATTTTCTTCTAGAATGTCCATCTTCAGTTTCAAGTCATCTTTTTTCACTTTCCTCATAGGGTCAGAAGGGAAATCCCAAGGGTCGTCAGAATGAAAGGGTCGTGATCCAGTATCACTACACGCAGTGGCCTGACATGGGAGTCCCCGAGTACGCCCTCCCGGTCCTGACGTTTGTGAGGAGATCCTCAGCAGCCCGGACACCAGAAATGGGCCCTGTCTTGGTGCACTGCAGGTAAGGCTGGCACCTTTTTCTTCAACATACGAAGTGGGCAGGGTGGGGCACTGGGCCTCGTGAACCTAGAACATGGTGGTATGGCCACTACCTTGACTTCGAAGCTGAGTTTTTCATCAATGACCAATACAAATAAGACCTGCTCTAGCCTTACAGGGAAGTCGTTGTATTCCCATAACATCGAGGATTCTTCTGTCACTTCTACAGTCTTTTATAAATCTCCTCAACTAAGTGGAACCTCAGGCTTCATAGAATTATCTTCATATTATTATTCTTGGAAGCATGTGTTTACACACAAGTGAGAGAGAACGGCGCCTTTCCCAGGGTCTGGTCACACCCTGATTCCCTTCCTCTAGTCCTCCGGCCCATGGGATCTTGGGCTCATGCATGTGCCTGGCATGTTTCAGGCTGACCCAACCAGGGATTCAAACCATGGCTGCCATGTGGAATCCTGGTTCTATAGAGCTGGCCCTAAGTCACCTCACAAATGGGAAAATCCTTATTGTTTATAGGGAAATTGTTCACTGATTATAGTAAGTTCCAAGAGTTTTCCATACCAGAGATTTTGAATTGTTATAAATGGCTTCTCTGAAGGGTTCCTCTCAATATTTATAGTATGCATGAAAAGATCTTGGGGCCAACAGGTGGCATGGTAGTTAACATGACCAGTGGCGATTCAAGTCCTGAACACAGCAGCTTGAATATCATGCCAGGCCTGTGTGTAGAATAGAGGAGAATACAAGAGGGATGGCAGTGTGGCCATCCCTCCTGGGGGGTGATTTCTCTCTTTCTCTCTCCCTGGTGAGTGCATGCACCTTATGGCAAAAATCTTAAAAAAAAAAAAATTATTTAAAACATTGTACTTTGAATATTCTTATAAAACATCTTTTAAAAAGCACTAGAAAAGTCAAGTACCTTAAACAACTGTAGCTGGATAATAGTGTTTTTATTGGTTTCATTTGCAGTTCCATTCTTGGCCCTTTTGTTTGGTATTCAAATAGAAGTTGCTTTTTCTGTGATACACATGGCATAACTGCACGGCCTTCTTCTCTAAGCATTTCTTTTGGGCTGTTTTTATAATATGCTTTCACAAAGCAAGTCCTTTGTAGACGCTGAAACCCATCTTCAGCTGAATATCCCATGAGCGCTCTACTTTTTTCCTAGTGGTTTTCAGAATCACTGAAGTCTGTCAAATAGCCTTAAGTATCAGTGGAGTTGTGCTAGATGGGGAACTTGCTAGGGTATTCTGCTCAGTTTTTTGGGTATTTTTAGTAAGTAAAAAGAGGTCTGGGACCAGCTGAACTTCCACGTGGTCAACTGTGGTTCAGGTTCTAGACCCAGTGGCTTAAGCTCAGACGGGGTGCGTGTGCTTGCCTGCCCAGGATCCCAGGAGGAGGAGGGATTGCAACGTGGCCATCGCCCATGGGTGGTGGGGGGGATTTCTCTCTTCCTGTCTCTCTGGCAAGCACACAGTGTGGCAGTTAAGTCGCTGGATTCCCACATGGCCAACTTTAGTTTGAGTCCTGGACATGGTGGCTTCAAAATCATGCCAGGCAAGTGTGTGTGCATGCCCAAGATGCTGGGAGAAGAAGGGATCACTGTGACAGAATCCTTGGGAGACTCGAAGACCCAAGCACAAGTTTGTACAGCAGGAAGAAGTCCTTGCTTAAGGCTTCCGCTGAGCTGATGCTGGCAGGAGAGAGACACCCCCCCACCCCCAGTTCCTTGCATCACTGAGTTACAAACTGAGGTTTCTCCCTGAAACTGCGTGCACATGGGCAGTCTGTGCTCATCAAGACTCATAAGGCGGGAAATGGCCTAATCATGTTTTGGGTGCTATCTCTATGAGTAATTGAGTAATCTGTCAACTCTACTAGAGGATCTGAACAACAGAGTTAGTTCATTAGATGGTAATTTTTACATTATGGCTAATGATATGATAAAGCGAAGAGTACAAGTGTCTTCAATTTTTTTTTTTTTTTTTTGCAGTGCTGGTGTGGGCAGGACAGGCACCTACATTGTCATAGACAGCATGCTGCAACAGATAAAAGACAAAAGCACAGTGAACGTCCTGGGATTCCTGAAGCATATCCGGACACAGCGTAACTACCTCGTCCAGACTGAGGTAAGGAGTAGCTCTGCCAGTGCCCTCAGGAGAGTCTTCCACCTGCTTTAAGTGATGGTTGAATGACATTGAGAAGACAGGGTTTGAAGGAATTTACAGGTTTGTATTAGGAGGCATCCTACCATGATGCTATTCTGTGGACCTTAATATTTGATTTCTCCATAACTTCACGAGCACATAAGGAGCAGACACAGTTGTATCAAGAGCTGTATTAGATGCTATAGGGAGTTGAATGTTGTCTGGCCTCAGAAATACGTAGGAGACAGTGATTCTTAGGCGACTCTTCACTGAACACACAGATCTCGGTCGCTTTCTGCATTGCACCTCCTGTTCCAGACACAACATGGAAGATAGAGCTAAACTGAGCAAGTCTCTACCCTAAAATTACTTAAGCAAATACATATACGAGCAAATAAGTAAGCGCCAGAAGAATTTACTGGGAGGTCTCTGTTAATCTAAGGTAGGCTTCAAGACTTCCTTAGCAGCTCCCCTCAGTAACTACTCTGCATTGTACCTTGTAGGAGCAGTACATTTTCATCCATGATGCCTTGTTGGAAGCCATTCTTGGAAAGGAAACGGAAGTATCTTCAAATCAGCTCCATAGCTATGTTAACAGCATCCTTATACCTGGAGTAGGAGGAAAGACACGACTGGAAAAACAATTCAAGGTAGTACTTTGAATAACTTTCTTTGGTATAACAATGCCTTGAGTTTAGGGGTCAACTCTGTTTGAAGGGGATTACTACTTGTGTTCCTTAAACATGCTGAGCTATATATGAATTGTTGGTATTCGGGTAGAGAGTGAAATGCTGCAATTTTCCTAAGCAATCTACAATTGTACCTGAATGAATCTATCAGCCCTTGGCCACAATGACATACTGCTGAGTGAGTTAGTACTGAAAATACTCTCCATATTTCTCTTAAGTAATCTATTTTGCATTTATTAAGAATGACATATTCTCCTAAAAATATACCAATTTGAGAAACTATAACTCGGAGAAAACTTTTCCTAAATGGTTGCTGTTTAGTTTTTTTCTTAAGAAGTTTTTTGCCTTAGGGCATGTGCGCTTGCTGGAAAGAGACAGAGGGAAAGTGAGAAATCGGCCATCCCCCCCACCCCCCAGGGGGATGGCCACGCCTCAATCCCTTCTCCTCTTGGGATTTTCTGCACTCATGGCCACCTGAATTTTAAGCTGCTGGGTCAGGACTTGAACCATGTTGACTACAATAACCAGCACACCATCAGCTGGTCCTGCTGTTTAGTTTTGATAGGGGCATGAAGAAATTTAAAGGCAGTTAAGAGTTACATGAAACTGACTGAGGTGATGGTAAAATAGAGAGACTGTAAAAAATATTAATTACTTAAGATCAGAGAAGCCAGTCATCTCACATAACTTACTATACCTAAGTGCTTTCCTAGCCTTAAATTCTGTTTTGTTCTATATTTGTGCTAAGATACAACAAATGAGAAAACTTTGCAGAGACTTCAAAACCTTTGAGTCTCAGCAAATTATACCAAGTAATATGGAACAAAATTTAAGGGGCCAGCAGGTAGCACAACAGTTACATCATTGAACCCCCACATGGCCGACCATGGTTCACCTTCCAGACCCAGTGGCTTGAAATTCATACCATATGCATGCCTAAGATCTTACAGGATAAGAAGGGATTGTGGTGTGGCCATCCACCCTGAGGGATGATTTCTCACTTTCCCTCTGTCTCTCCCTGGTGAGCACATATACCCTAAGGCCAAAAACAAAACAAACAAAAAAACACAATAGATTAATTCCACTGAGTTCAGTCATACCAGTAACTTAGAGCTAGAAATTCTTTTACTATCCTAATTACTATAAAACCATTGGAGGTAATTAATAGTTGAGGATACAATGTATCATTTTAGGCATTTTAAATGAGTTCCTACAAAATATCAAGTACAATATTTTTAAATTGTGCCTTTTCCAGTTCTGAAATACTTTTTCAAAAAAATTCCTCAAAGAAACCAGGTAACTGGCTCTTTTTTTTTTTTTTTTTGAGAGATTTTCATTGTAGGGCATGTGCGCTCGCCAGACAGACAGAGAGAGACATAGAGACAGAAAGCGAGAAATCACCCCCCAGGGGGGATGGTCACGCCGCAATCCCTTCTCCTCCATTCTCCTCTCGGGATCTTGGGCATGCACACACACGCGCCCGGCGTGAGTTTTAAGCTACCGGGTCCGGGACACGAACCGCAGTCGACTATGTGGGAGTCCAGCAACAGAGCCATTATGCTAACTGCTGGTTCCCACTGGCTCTTTTATATACATGATCCATTTTAAAACTCAAAAGAAGAAAACAAGAATCACAAATTCAAAACCAGAATTTCTATGCTAGGGCCTATGACAGTAATAACTGGAGAAGCAGACTGTTCCATATATACCCTTAAGATGGACCTTCCTGGAGGTGGCAGGTGGCTAAGGGCCCTGGATTCCCACATGGCCAACTCTGGTTCGAGCTCCGGACCTGGCAGCTTGCTTTCTCACTCTCTCCCCTAAAAAGCAGAACTGAAAATTTATTCAACCAAGCTACATAAACAGGAAGAACCACCAAACCAACCCCTGTGCTGACTGTAGTAGCCTTTCCACAATGTTAGGTCAGTTCAGCAGAAATGTACTGAGAGCATATCAAGTGCTACACTGTCTTCAAGAAACATAGCTCATAGCAGTATGAAGCAGTCTTTTTTCTATTGGGTCATCTAGAAAGTGGTGATGTATTTTTGCATAGAGAAACAAGTCATGACATTCCTGACAACCTAATAGTATAGACACAAATCTTATGTGCCAGTGAGAAATTACAAAAAATTTTCACCAAGCCATTGTAATAACAGAAAAAAAAAAAAAACATGAAAAAATTCTCATAGTCCAATAATTATCTGTTCAGTAGACAGTGTCCATATCTATCTTTAAGTAGCTTAGGACTTTATAGTAGAAAAGAGACAAGGTTCCCAGCAAGGTCGCTGGAGGAAGTGCCACTAGGGAAGTGTATAAAAGTGTTCTTTGGGACAAAAAAAAAAAAAATTAAGTTGAGTTTTGTTTTTTTTTTTCCAAATCATCAAGCAAATGGCATCATTTACAGCTCTATAACAACTATAACTGAATGGAGACTGAAATGTTGCTTTTCTTTCAGCTCGTCACGCAATGCAATGCGAAATACGTGGAATGCTTTAGTGCTCAAAAAGAGTGTAACAAAGAAAAGAACAGAAATTCTTCAGTTGTGCCATGTAAGATGTTAAAATCCGTTTGACGTAGTTCACTGTGTTAGTATTGGTGTAATTATATAAAGAGGCAGCTATGACCAAAGGGGAAATGTTATGCTTAGGTCAACGAGGGCAGTGTGATGAAAGGAGGAGGGGGGCTGTCCGTGCCAGCACGGCACTCCATCTAACGGGAAATGTAGCTTCAGTGCACCTCAAAGCACAGTAATTAGAGTGCTTCTACTATATTTCAATCTCAAAAAAAAAAAAAAAACTGTGAACACTTGAGAGTCCTCCATTAATTTGTACAAGCGGAACTACACCATTAGAGATTGAGGCACTGAGGGTGGTAACCTTTGTATAAAGAACTGTGTGTGCTCTAGAGAGCTAAAGCTATGTAAAACGTCAAAGGAGGGTCACAAGTTAGCTGAAACCTCTGCCCTGTTTGATTATATATATATACATATACATATATATGTGTGTGTGTGTATATGTGTGTGTATATATATATGTGTGTGTGTATATATATGTGTGTGAGTGTATATATATGTGCGTGTGTGTGTGTATTCTCTTTGGGATTTGCTGTTGAAAGACCTTCCCACAGTAAAATTTTATTTCTACAGTATTTATGTCTTTCTGGATGTGCTACAAAATTTCTCTTTACATTCTAGCTTGTTGAATCATGTAAGTGTTAGAAAAGGGAGCCACAGGGGTGTGTTACTCACTGAGTAAATCCCAGGAAGAGCTGTCGGTTCTGTGTTTAACAAAGCAAATGTGGTATTTTTGTTTTTTCCATATGATAGCTGAGCGGGCTCGAGTGGGTCTTGCGCCGTTGCCTGGAATGAAAGGAACAGATTACATTAATGCCTCTTATATCATGGTGAGAGTCAACAGTGAATTATAAGTAAAGTCAATTAAACTGAAAGGTGTTAAAGAGCAGATACCACCTATGTGACTGATTTCATATATCCGGAATCATTTCTCAATGTGTAATACCTAAAGTATAGGGATTCTTGTATCTTGAAACTTTTAACAAAAGATAATGGGGAGTACAGAAGTGGTTAAATGAAGCAAAATGCTTCCTAAGGAATTAATTTTATTGTTAATTTCACCCATGTAGTCTTTGAATAAATGTTGAAATTACCGTTAAGTAAAAACAGCAGGGGTAACTAGAAGGGAATTGCACATGGAGAGAAAATTGTCTGCACAGTGTTAGCTGAAGTACATCTAAAAATTAGCCAAATGTACTGAACGCTTTTCCCAATTATTTTAGTGCAGTCACAACAATGTCGTTATTTCATGAATATATTTTACTACCACAAAGTCAGAAGAAAACACTCGTAATCACTGAATTTTCTTCTTTCCAACTGAAGGGCTATTATAGGAGCAACGAGTTTATTATAACCCAGCATCCTCTGCCACACACTACGAAAGATTTCTGGCGAATGATCTGGGATCATAACGCACAGATCATTGTCATGCTGCCAGACAACCAGAGCTTGGTAAGCAAAGCACATCTGCTATATATTAATGAGCCCGGAGGCTACAAGCATAAATTACTCGGATACCTTGCCATAGGACCATAGTGTCTATAGAGGCTAGGGAGAGAATTTAGACTTCCGTCTGGAAATCTATAGATTCCTTTCATACTATCTGTGTCAGGTTCATTACTTGATTCTCTAATGGTGTGGTAGGTGGTTTTACTAACCTCATTAATATGCCATTAGACTGACCTAGAGCCTGCTATATTGTACTTGTGAAAGGTAAATTAAGGGTCTAGTTGGTGACATGTTTGTTAATGCAGTTTCATGACTGACTGCACCATTTGAGTCCTATACCTGGCAGCTTGAAAAAAAAACACTGGGCATGTGTATGTCTGTGGCCAAAATCCAGAAACGAGGGAGAGGAGAAAGGATTGCTTTCCCATATCCCCCTCTCTCCCTGGTAAGCACAGGTACCCTTTGTAATGAACCTACCTTGCCTAGGGAATGGGGGGGGGGGTAATAATGTACTTATGATGCATTTTACAAACTTACCAATTGTTTTTCATTAACTTTTAAAAAGTGTAGCTTCCATTTATTGAGTATCAAACTGCATCTATTCATTTAATCACTAAGAGAACTAAGGGACTAACTTGTCCAAGACTACACAGGAATAATTAGATTCTGACCTTACTCTGTCTCTAGTGCCCGTGCTTTTAATCATTTTACTGTGTGTCACATCATAGAAATGTTTTCCAGCCAAAAATAAGAGCACAAAAAGCACATTTTTTCCTCATTCCCTAGCCACATTAGAAGGGTTAAGGAAAGGCTAGTTTGTTGCCACTTGAGGGTGCTCTTTAAGAGTTTGACTAAACCCCTACTTCTCTCCTCTTCTTTAGTCATTCTCTACTTTATTAAACAGGCTTAAATATGTGTGCGTGGATCTCACGCATACTTAACTTTCAGAATTAGTCAGGTCTTCCAAAGTTACTCCACGGCTATGTAAGCCCACAAGATGAAACCCAGAAACAATGAGGACGTGCCTCCATGAGTGTCAGATTAATGAGTTGTTAATCAAGAAAGAACAGCCTGTGATTGAACCCCTAGTCTGGATGACATGCATTTGACTGTGTGCCCAGGCTGCAGGAACTTCTTCACTTTGTCGCATTCTGCTCCAGCTTCAGAATCCCAAGACTTGCCATTCCATCATACAGAAGCAAAGTTGGGAATCTTGAGCTAAAAGCTGGAGTGTAAATTTTCAAATTAGCTGGCAACAGGGGTCTATTCTGTTTGGCATGTGGAAACTGGAGGCATTTAGGGTTGTTAAAACGTTCATTTGCTGGATGAGTCAGTATTTTGTTATTGTCACTTTGCAGAAGACAGTCACCATGAAGCATCTACAAAGGAGCTCACAGGTATAGGGAAACTAATCCAAAGAAGAGGCTACTGAGGCTATGGGAACTGCCCTACAACATGTCACCTCAGTATCTCTGAAACCTAAGGGGTCTGCTCTCTCTACTTGAATACTACTTTTACCATTGTACAGCTTTTCCTAAACATGAGAGTCCCACATTCCATTACTATAACTTTACAAGGCCATAATTCTATGACTAGCCCAAAAGCCACTGGTTCCTGGTTCAGTTACAGAATGCCCAAATATCTTTGACCTGTCCATATATTTTTAAGCAAAATGTTTTAAGATGAACAATTATATATCTACATTAAAAGTACCTTCCTGCCTTTCTTCCACACTTAGTTAAAATCCGATTCATATTTCATATATATATTTCATATATCATATTTCACTGAGGTGTACAGGTTTAATTCATCTGGCATCAGATCCTGCACTTACGCTGTGTGTATTTTAGATGCCTTCCCCGTCCATCATTACATTGGTCTGTGCTATCTGTTTAAAGGGTATACTTCCATTTCCTTGGACAAAACATATTAAAATCCCTGACAGTTACAGATTTCTTTTGTATAGACTAAACCCAATTGCTAATCTGTTTCCCCTTATGCTGAGCTTTAAAAATAAAAATGTACTTGGCAATAAGCTATATTGAAACTTGAAAGGGTGATAAGTCTTATTGGACTGTTGGCTCATTTCTAATTCAACAATGTAAGATTAAACAAAGCCTTTTTTGTTTGGAACATTATTTCTGACTTCAATGATATTATATAGATTTCAATGGGCATTTTCTGGAAAATGCCCAGATACGAAGTTTACCATTTGAGATGATTAGAAAAAAGGGGAGGTAGGGAAATACATATCAAAGTCTCCAAAATATGCAACAATTAGCTTCTTTTTAGGCATCCATAGTTTTCAGGATAGAATTCAAGTACCAAGCCTGAATATTTTTAACCTTAAAGTTTTCCTAATTCAAGGATGAAAGACTCTGTTATCTTCCCTAAGAAAAGATTCCTTCTGTCCCTTATCAGCAATGTGGTTTTAGACCATTTAAGTACCTCTCTGAGCCTTAGATGATAGAACGCTTTTATATAGTTAAGATCTGAAACTTATGAAGAACTTTTACAACTCAAGAGCAGAAACATGGGAAAAAGATTTAACTAGTCCAAGTCTAAAAACGGCCACTGGATATATGAAAGCATACTCAATGGTTATTAATCAGAGCAATGTGAAACCAGATTACCATGAAGAACCACCCTACACCCATTAGAACAGCTATTATCAGAAAGGCAAAGGTAACAAACATTGTAGAGGATACAAGAAACAGCTAACTCTTAGGCATTCTTACTAGGAATACAGAGTAAGAGAGGGAGGGAAAGTGAACAAGCAAGTCGCCAGGTCCGGGACTCAAACCGCAGTCGACCATGTGGGAGTTCGGTGCCCTTAACCACCATGCCACCTGCCAATTGCAAAAGTGCAGATTAGAACTATCGAATGACACAGCAATTCTGCTTCTGGACATATCCTAAAAGGAAACTAAATCACTAAGATTATCTGTACTTTAAATAGCCATACTATGAAACTAAACTAAGGTCCACCAATGTATGAATGGCTAAAGAAACTGTGGTACATATATATTCAATGGAATATCATTCAGTTGTAATATACAACATCCTGCCATTTGCCACAAGGTGGATTAGCACGGAAGACATGAAATAAACCAGATTTGGACACGGAATATAAAAAATATATGCACACACAACATTAGTTACCAGAGGAGGTTGGGAAGATGTAGCTCAAGGTAGAAAGTAGCAGATGTGTGAAATGAATGAGTCCAGAGATCTTATGTACAATATGATAACTGTAGGTCAGAAAATTGTACTGTATTTGGAATTTATGCTACATTAATCCTTGCTGCTTTTGCTGAAAAAAAAAAGTATACAAAATATTAGGTTGTCAGGAAAGTCATGACATGTTTTTCTACGCAAAAATGCATCATGACTTTCTCGACAACCCCAATAATTTCATTTGCTTCACTACAGAAACCTTTACACTGTGATTCCTGTTGTATACCTCAAACATACATGACAAAATTTATTTTTAAAAGAATCCTTTATATTAGTAGTAGTTATAAAAACTAAATAAGATAGATAATGTTTATAAAATCCTTTGCAAAATGCTACTCAACTGTAGAATTGCTATTAACATAATCCATAGGAAATAACAATTAGCATGTCTTGGTTGCTTAAGCAACTGTGAAATAATAAATTAAAATTAATTGGCCTAGATCCTGTCTCCCTTTTTACTATGCCAATTATATTACAGAACACTTCTCAACTGGGCATAATGCAGCCCCTATAGAGGGAGTTTTTTGGTTATTATAGTGACAGGTGAGAGGTACTTAGAAATGGTTATTATCAAAATGTAGTTTATAATAGATTATAATAACCATTGAACTCAGCATGATTAGATAGGGATATAATTCTGTGGACTCAATTTAAAAGATGATTTGAGAAAGTGTGTGAAATTGTGAAATGGCAAACAAATTGGTTTGCAAGAAAATTCAAAAACAAATGTTTGACTGCATTGCAGACCTTTTTTTGTTTTGGTTTCCAAAGGCAGAGGATGAGTTTGTTTACTGGCCAAGTCGAGAAGAATCTATGAACTGTGAGGCCTTTACCGTCACCCTTATCAGCAAAGACAGACTGTGCCTCTCTAATGAAGAACAAATTATCATCCACGACTTTATCCTTGAAGCTACACAGGTAACCTAAACCTCAGTTCTTCGTAATAGTCCTACCTGGGCCCTGGATCATCCTTCTAAGTAATAATGAAGTCATTTACTACCCTCAAAACAGGCCCAGGCGTTTGAGTAAGATTTTAAATATGTACATTTCCTTTCTGATCCTTTCAAATATTTGCTTTTTCCATCTTGCTAAATGAAATGTAACAGTTTCTCTGATTCAGCATGCATACAAATAGGTCTATTGACCTAATTATAAAAACAATATACTAGAGTTCAATATTTTCTTTGCCATCAGAAATGTAAGCCTTGTGGTATGTTGCAGACATGATAAAATTAAATTTTTTTTTTTTTTTTTGGAACAACACTTCGATGTGTAACAACTGCCTCCTTGTGGGATGAACAGAAGAAAGACACTCTTACATTAGTAATTTGAATGATGTCCCCGGAACCCTGCCCTTCTTTTTTTTCTTTCTTTTTTTTTTTTTATTAGGTTTTTGTCATATGGTACATATACTCACCAAAGAGACAAAAAGTGAGAAATCATACCTCAGCAGGGATGGCAACACTGCAATTCCATCTCCTTTACTCTCCTCTTGGGATTTTGGGCACACACACCCCTCTGGTGTAATTTTCAAGTTGCAAGGACTCAACCAACTATGGTTGGCCGTTTGGGAATCTAGTGCTACCTGCCGACCCCTTTCTTAAAAATAAGTTGAGTAGAGACCAGCAGTTAGCGTAATGGCTATGTCGCTGGACTCCCACGTAGTTGACCGCGGTTCGAGTCCCGGACCCGGTGGCTTAAACTCACGCCGGGCGCGTGTGCGTGCGTGCCCAAGATCCCGAGAGGAGAATGGAGGAGAAGGGATTGCGGCGTGGCCATTCCCCCTGGGCAGTGATTTCTTGCTTTCTTTCTCTCTGTTTCTGTCTGTCTGGCGAGCACACGCACCCTATAGCAAAAATAAATAAATAAATAAGTTGAGTACAATATAAAGTCTCTTATAATTTTCTTAGGATCTCATTTTTTTCTTGGCAAAAATTTAAATTTTATTTATGTGACCCACCTGCTCAAGAACAGCCAGACACCTGCCTAGTACTTTCTTCCTACCAGCTGCAGTTTAGTTCCCTGACATCGTTCAGTTATCTATAGTTTATGCTTTCTCAGAAACAAGTTCTCATCATTGATCACAGATACATAAAATACAAGATGGGATGTGACTTCTGTGGTCTTGGTTATAGGATGACTATGTCCTGGAAGTGCGGCATTTTCAGTGTCCCAAATGGCCTAATCCAGATGCCCCCATAAGCAGCACCTTTGAACTTATCAACGTCATCAAGGAAGAGGCCTTAACAAGGGATGGCCCCACCATTGTTCACGATGAGTATGTATCTGTTTCTTACTTTGAAAATACAGACATTTTGATTGCTATAGTTGTAGAAAGGGAAGACAGAATTTAAAAACCTACCCTTTCTCTCAGTTTGTCACCATCTAGTTATTCTACCATGTACTTGTACAAAGTATTGTGGTTTCATTTACATTTTAATGTCAAGGTCCCCGAGGCTCCAGGTTTTCCTAGGTGTACATTCTAGAAATGGGAAAGTAGTATTGCTTAGCCCACAAAAGTAAACCTGCATGCTTTATACTTAAGTACTTACACTGAAATGCTTATTGAAGAAGGCACATTTTAAATATATAGTTTAGTGGATTAGTAGGGATAAAGTTTTACTATTAATGGTAAGATGTAGAGCTTATGATGTATTTTGAAGTACTATCTTTGGGTATTTAAAGGGAAAGAATATGAATCTGAAAGATAACAAATATCTTGTGCCTGGTCATAGTTTTTTTTTGAAGTGACAGGATGGTATTCAAATACAGTCCTTTTTTCTTCATATTATACTGGAAAAGGACACGGACCTCGTGCTGTGTGGTTATTTCTGGTTGAGCTTCACGGTTTAAGACTACCTGTGAAGTCAGACTACCTGTGAAGTCAGAACTCTCACTCACCTTTAACCCATATGGAACCAATTGCAAATCTTCATTTCTGTTTTCTTAGTACATCTGTTATTGCATTAACTAGTAACTTATTAGCATATGAAATTAATAAATTTGACAGTGAAGCGTCTCAGGTAAGTCCCTTGTTTTCCTTGAACTACTGCTGTAATAAGAAGTGCAAACAACACTTTAGCTCCAACTTGTGAGCACTTTCAACTCAAATCACTCCACCCTCTTCTCTGAAGTAAGCCCTCTATATTGACTGCTTCCGAAACATTTTGTGATCTTTTCTAGGAAATAATGACTATTCCAAAAATGGTGGCCTAACTCCTTAGATTTAAAAAAAAATGTTAGTTTTCGGGACCAGCAGTTAGCGTAATGGCTATGTCGCTGGACTCCCACATAGTCGACCATGGTTTGAGTCCTGGACCCAGCGGCTTAAATTCACGCCAGGCACGTGTGCGTGCATGCCCAAGATCCCGAGAGGAGGGTGGAGGAGAAGGGATTGAGGCGTGGCCATCCCCCCTGGGGGGGGTGATTTCTTGCTTTCTGTCTCTCTGTCTCTCTCTATCTGCCTGGCGAGCGCACGCGCCCTATAGCAAAAACCTCTAAAAAATAATAAGTAAATATTGTTGGTTTTCGATGTGTGGGAGGGCATGTATGCTCACCAGAGACAGGAATAGTGAGAAATCACATCCCCACCCACCTCCCCCAAAGCGGATTGTCACACCACTGTCCTTTATCTTTCATTTCTCCCTCCTGTTGTGATTTGGGGCTCACATGCACACAGATGGGGCTAGTGTGTTTCTCAAGCTACCAGGCCTGGGCCTTAAATTGTGCAGTCGGCCATGTGGGCCCAGCTGCCTTAACCACCATGCTACCCACGTGGCTCCACACTCCTTAAATTGCACAGACAACCTCCAAATAACAGGATAGTTGATGTTGGTCTATGACACTTTGTGGCATATAGTTATTAAGTCGGGAGTTTTTCCCCATAAATCTGGAGCACCATTTCAAATACCTTCCAGGTTTCCATTCAGGCCAAATTTTTGGTTTAGGGCTCATTTTTTTTATTATGGTAGTATCTAAGCAAGTTTGTCCTAATGTCAAAAGTAGGCCCCTCACAGCCCTTAGGGGGTACTTTCCAAAACCCCACTGGATCCTTAACACTATGGATAGTATCAAACCCTATATCTGCTAGAGGTTCTTTTTTCTTTTTTTCTTTTCTTTTTTATTTTTGTTGTGATGACTATTAAGTGACTAAAAGGTGAGTAGTATGATATGGTTTGGATACACTGGGCGCAGGGATAATCAACATCATAGGCAGGACAGAACAATATTTTGTCACAGTACTAAGAACATGGAACTTAAAGTGGCTTATTTCTGGAAGTTTCCATGTAATATTTTCAGGTTATGGGTAACAGAAACCATAGGAGGGGAGGATACTATAGCACAGCTCATCTTATATTCTAAAGTAAGGAAAGAAAACCCCAGCACCCAGTTAAACACACAGTTCTATGTAGTGTTTATCTATTTTCATGTTTTGGGGATTTGGTCTTTTTTCAGTGATTTTTACTTTATGTCACATTCTGAATATGTCACCTCTGGAACAGATCAAACACAGCTTTTTCTTACGCCTAAAATGAACAGATCAAAATAATCTTAAGCCAGTGTATCAGCAAATATCCTGTAGGCGGGGTACTTTAAAAGCCACTTGTAGCAATGTGGTAATTCATTTACCCACTGTCTAAAGGGAATAAGTTGATTCCATAGAAATTATTTTTCACTTTCCATATCAGCAAACATCCCTTCCTGAAAGGCTGCAGACACCTCAAAATCAGCATGTTATGACCACCCTCATCTCCCCTCCCTGCCCCCATCTGCTCAGATGCACTAACCAGAAGCACATCAGAACCCTTTGTGAGTCTCCCTCAACTCCACATGGAACTGGCCACCTCCCTGTGTTGGTGCTATCCATTCTTTCAATAAGCATTTTACCATAGCGGGTGTGTGCTCACTGAGGCGAGATGATGAGAAATCACCTCCCCTCACCAAGGAGGATGGCCACACTGCAATCTCTTCTCCTCCAAATCCCTTCTCCATTCTGGCGTGGCCATCCCCCCTGGGGGGGTGATTTCTTGCTTTCTGTCTCTCTGTCTCTCTCTATCTGCCTGGCGAGCGCACGCGCCCTATAGCAAAAACCTCTAAAAAATAATAAGTAAATATTGTTGGTTTTCGATGTGTGGGAGGGCATGTATGCTCACCAGAGACAGGAATAGTGAGAAATCACATCCCCACCCACCTCCCCCAAAGCGGATTGTCACACCACTGTCCTTTATCTTTCATTTCTCCCTCCTGTTGTGATTTGGGGCTCACATGCACACAGATGGGGCTAGTGTGTTTCTCAAGCTACCAGGCCTGGGCCTTAAATTGTGCAGTCGGCCATGTGGGCCCAGCTGCCTTAACCACCATGCTACCCACGTGGCTCCACACTCCTTAAATTGCACAGACAACCTCCAAATAACAGGATAGTTGATGTTGGTCTATGACACTTTGTGGCATATAGTTATTAAGTCGGGAGTTTTTCCCCATAAATCTGGAGCACCATTTCAAATACCTTCCAGGTTTCCATTCAGGCCAAATTTTTGGTTTAGGGCTCATTTTTTTTATTATGGTAGTATCTAAGCAAGTTTGTCCTAATGTCAAAAGTAGGCCCCTCACAGCCCTTAGGGGGTACTTTCCAAAACCCCACTGGATCCTTAACACTATGGATAGTATCAAACCCTATATCTGCTAGAGGTTCTTTTTTCTTTTTTTCTTTTCTTTTTTATTTTTGTTGTGATGACTATTAAGTGACTAAAAGGTGAGTAGTATGATATGGTTTGGATACACTGGGCGCAGGGATAATCAACATCATAGGCAGGACAGAACAATATTTTGTCACAGTACTAAGAACATGGAACTTAAAGTGGCTTATTTCTGGAAGTTTCCATGTAATATTTTCAGGTTATGGGTAACAGAAACCATAGGAGGGGAGGATACTATAGCACAGCTCATCTTATATTCTAAAGTAAGGAAAGAAAACCCCAGCACCCAGTTAAACACACAGTTCTATGTAGTGTTTATCTATTTTCATGTTTTGGGGATTTGGTCTTTTTTCAGTGATTTTTACTTTATGTCACATTCTGAATATGTCACCTCTGGAACAGATCAAACACAGCTTTTTCTTACGCCTAAAATGAACAGATCAAAATAATCTTAAGCCAGTGTATCAGCAAATATCCTGTAGGCGGGGTACTTTAAAAGCCACTTGTAGCAATGTGGTAATTCATTTACCCACTGTCTAAAGGGAATAAGTTGATTCCATAGAAATTATTTTTCACTTTCCATATCAGCAAACATCCCTTCCTGAAAGGCTGCAGACACCTCAAAATCAGCATGTTATGACCACCCTCATCTCCCCTCCCTGCCCCCATCTGCTCAGATGCACTAACCAGAAGCACATCAGAACCCTTTGTGAGTCTCCCTCAACTCCACATGGAACTGGCCACCTCCCTGTGTTGGTGCTATCCATTCTTTCAATAAGCATTTTACCATAGCGGGTGTGTGCTCACTGAGGCGAGATGATGAGAAATCACCTCCCCTCACCAAGGAGGATGGCCACACTGCAATCTCTTCTCCTCCAAATCCCTTCTCCATTCTCCTCCTGGCATTTTAGACAAGCACAAACATGCACCTGTCATGATTTTCAAGCCACCAGGTCCAGGACCTAAACCGTGGCCTGCCATGTGGGGAGTCCAGCACGTTAACCACTACACCACCTGTAGGTCCCACATTTTTACAGTCCACTCTACTTTTCCAGCCAACGTCTTGATCCTCTAGTCAAGTATTTCCTGCACACCATCTCACCCTACAAATGCCAAGTGCCCTTTGATTCATCGCATAGTACAAAAGTCACTCTCTGTGAAACCATCTTTAACTCATCTCTGAGGTACTAATCAGAATCATTAATGTTGCATTCTTACCGATGCATACCAGCTAAATGTCATTACTGTTTATTATGTCTCACTGTAGTTAACTGTGTATGTGACTGTTCCTCACATGTCACAGAGACCACCTATGGCAACTTATTCATCTCAGTCTCCATAGGGTAGAGTCCAGTGCCTGGGACCAAGTTGGGTGTGGGATCAGTATTTGCACGAATAGATACTATGCTTTAAACTGTGATGACTTACTAGTAAGGATATATAACCCTAGACAAGCAGTCTCCAAAGAACCTTCCTTTTTGTATTTTATATTGCTCACTTTGCCTGCCTGAATTCCACAGTGAAAAATAAAACCCATTTACAAAGTGGAGAGAAAGCACCTCCTGACAGGGCATGCTCATGTCACA